AAACGAGAGAAAGAGAGAGAAAGAGAGAGAGACAGTGAGAGAGAGAGAGCGCGAGAGAGAGAGAGAGAATGAGAGAGAGAGAGAGAAAGAGAGAAAGAGAATGCGAGAGAATGGGAGAGAAAGAGCGCGCGAAAGAGAGAATGAGAGAGAGCGCGCGAGAGAGAGAGCGCGCGCGAGAGAGAGAGCGCGCGAGAGAGTGAATGAGAGAAAGAGAGAGTGCGAGAGAGAGAATGAGAGAGAGAGCGCGAGAAAGAGAATGAGAGAAAATGAGAGAGAGAAAGAAGGAGAGCGCAAACGAGAGAAAGAGAGAGAAAGAGAGAGAGACAGTGAGAGAGAGAGAGAGAGAGAATGAGAGAGAATGAGAGAGCGCGAGAGCGAGAGAGAATGAGAGAGAGAGAGCGCGCGAGAGAGACTGAGAGAGAGAGAGAGAGCGTGAGAGAGAGAGAATGAGAGCGAGAGCGCGAGAGAGAGAGAATGAGAGAGAATGAGAGAGAGAGAGAAAGAGAGAAAGAAAGTGAGAGAAAGAGAAAGAGAGAGAAAGAGAAAGAGAGAGAAAGAGTGTGTGTGTGTGTGTGTGTGTGAGAGAGAGAGAGAGAGAAGGGGGCGAGAAAAAAAACCAATATCAATTTCGTATACGGATACTCGCAATAACAATTGCCGTGTTTATGCGTTCTTTCCCGTTCTAGACTTGTCGAACCTGTGACCGTCGTCAAAAATAGCTACGACGTCAGTTGTCTAGGATGCTGCATAGCTTTTACGCGCGAAGTATTGTAAACAGTATATACCGTTTAGACTCATGATGGTTATGAATATTTATGATGTTTCTGACAATGTACTACTATACTGGCTCTCAAATATCAATTCATATGATCTCGGTTATTATATGTATCACATTTTACTGCACTTTTAGTTTTGGTTGCCTAGTAGGTGGCACATGTTAAGAGCTAAGATGCTTGTCAATGAGCGATGACCAGAAACGGACAAACATTTTTTGGCTAATTCACAGATCGATAACTCGTTTCTGATTAGCAGCGGAATTCATACATGGTATTCTAGATATCCGTTTTATGTATGCACATGTAGGATAAACAGCTATTCATTCCACGGATGGATGGATCAGGCGCTGTATACCTCCCGCGACCTCACTACATTGCATCTGCCAGGCAAATACTTACAAATAGAGGCTTGCCGCTTCGCGTTCTCTCTCTCTCGCTTGCTCCCCCTCTCTGCCTCTGTCTCGCTATCCGCCTCTCTCGCTCTCGTTTTTTCTCACGCTCCCTGTCCCTTCATCTTTTCCCCACTTTTCTCTGCTCTCTCTCTCTCTCTCTCTCTTTCTCTCTCTCTCGGTCTCTATTATCTATTTAACATTATACTTCAAGAATCACGACAACGCACATTATTATCAAGCATGTAGTAGAAGCGCCGAAGTAACAGATAATTATGCTGTTATAAAACCCCTGATCAACGATTCGAGGTGTCTTAGAGTTAAGAAGTTGTCTTAGAATAAAGATGTTGTCTTATGGTTAAAAAGTTGTCATATATTTAGGAAGTTGTCTCATAGTTAAAGCGTATTCTGATAATTATAGCCCTCCTCAATGCGTAATGCGTGCGCGCGCGTGCCTTTCTGTCCGTCTATCCTTTCATCCGTCCTCTCTCTTTCTCTTTCTCTCTCTCTCTCTCTCTCTCTCTCTCTCTCTCTCTCTCTCTCTCTCTCTCTCTC